CGCTGGGAGCGCAGCATCGCTCCCTCCGCGGGTTCGGATCCTGTATTGGAATGGCCGGTGCACTCACTGGCTGAGCGCGGTGCAGGCAACACCACACCAAGGGTTGCGATCCCCTTACCGGTCACGAAAAAGACAAAAAAAAAAAAAATATGTTTAAGCTGTTGTAGTCAATCCCTAGCTGTAACATGGTGAACCCTCCAAAGATGCTTTTATTCTGTGAGGACTTGAGTGAAGAGGCTAGAAGACGTTCTTTTTGAGATCTCTTCAGTTGCAAAAGATACCAAGTAATCATCAATTGTAAAAGTTGGGACAATCTTAGATTTTGTTAGAAATCACTGCTTAAGTCATTGTAAAGAATAAAATGTTATCAAAATTTTTTAATTATGCCAAAAGAAAAGCTACTCAGCCTAGATAAAGGCCAAATCCTTGCCATTTTGTCAGTGACTTGCAATTAGTGACTAATTTCCCCCAGCCGGTTGTATTTCTGGTGTTCTGAGGTATTTTCAAGGTACAGCACAGGTTTTCTAGATCACAGTATGGAGTTTACATAGTACCCCACTATTCAAATCAGATTTTACTAACATTATTTCTTAGGATGTCTAGTCCCTGAAAGGTCATGAACTGTCAAATATGAACCTGAGATAGAAATCTCAGGACTTTTTTTTGGGGGGGGGCTGCTGGCCAGTATGAACAAATTGAATTCTGTAGTGCTCCACTATTACATTGGTGTTGTGATTAAACAGAACATCTTTAATACAACATATATCAACTAAATCTCCCAAATACTTCCAAATAACATAATTAGAGAGTTAGTAGTTTCAGGAATATTTTGAAAAGTAATAAAATCTGGGGAGAGTTATGGGTCCAAATTCAACCAATATTTATTGATCACCAGGCATTTTCTTATCTCATTTAACTCACAAAAACTTTTTTTTTTCTGGTAGCTCGCTGGCACAGGGAGCCAAACCCATGATGTTGGTGTCATGAAGCAGCATTCTAATCAACTAAGCTAACCAGCCAGCCCTACAAAGACTCCGTCTTATACCTAGGCTCAGAGAGGCCTTTCCCAAGGTCACAGGACCAGAAATAGATAAAGCCAAGATTTCAACCTAGGGTGCTTTGACTCTAACTTCAGTACTCCTTTTCACCATGGCTGTGTTTTTACGAAACTTGAAAAAAATGTTTCTAACTGGACATAAAACTGAACAGGAGAGACTACTGTTTGAGGGTACTGTATGGGTGAATGGGAATATATATATATATATATTTTTTTTTTTTTAAGATTTTTTTATATTCTATGATATTGTTGCAGAGCAGCTGTGGGGGAGGGGAAATGTGAAGGAAACAGGGTGAGAGGAGGAGGAAGGAGGAGGGGCAGGGTTGAGGCCTGTGACATCCCCCTCATTCCTGCATGGGAGACCAGGGGGCTTCCAGTGGTGGCTTGGTCATTGCTGGGCTGGGTGCAGACATCAGAGGGGTATGGCTGAAGCCCTCACCCTCCCAACTGCTCCAGCTCATGAGCCTGGGGCACTTCCTGCAGTGGCTTGGTGGTCTTCTTCACTGGACTGGCTGTGGGTGTCAGGGGGAGTAGCAAAGGCCTTTGCCCCCCCCCCCAGCACCCCAGCTCAGGAGAGCCCGGGGTGCTTCCTGTGGCAGCTTGGTGGTTGTGGGTACCAGGGGGCATGGCCAAGGCCCCAGGCCCCCCACTACCCTGGCTTGGGAGAGCCCGGGGCACTTCCTGCAGTCACTCAGTGGTTGTCACTAGGCTGGTCATAGCCAACATTTTTGTTCAGAATTCTGTTTTCGTGTTGGAGAATATCTGGGTTAATTCCTGGAAGCAGAATTCCTGGGTTTTCATTTTAATGAAGCAGGATGCTTCCAAACTTTTTTTTTTTTTTAAAGATGACCAGTAAGGGGATCTCAACCCTTGACCTGGTGTTGTCAGCAACACGCTCAGCCAGTGAGCAAACCGGCCATCCCTATATAGGACCCGAACCCGTGGCCCCAGTGTTATCAGCACCGCACTCTACCGAGTGAGCCATGGGCCGGCCTAGGATGCTTCCAAACTTTGGGTTAGGAGTCATATCTGATTGTAGTATGCTGGATGGCATTTCTGTAGCTTCTACCTATAGGTCTGAGTCCTGGAACTCTATAGAATTAGTTTAACCCCTTTTCCATGTAAGACTTATAGAGACTAGAAAGCAGGTACCATGGCATTCCTGAGTCTTTTTCTCCTGGAGGGTGAACCATCCAAGTCTGTATCCTGAGCCCACAAGGCCTTCCTCATTCATCACGAGGTAGGGCCATGCATTTCTCTTCTGTTCTTAGAAAGGTTCATCAAAGTTATTCACTGGATACAAAGCAAGATTCTAGGTCAGGGAAGCAGGTGGATTCTGCTTGAGTTTGGTCACTCTCAGCCCATTCTCTCGATTCCACCTTCCCCAAACTTGGAAACAGACCCAGCCAAAGAGAACTCTCCTCTGGAGGAAGTTGGGTGAATGGGAATATTTCTGACTAACTTGGAAGCATTAAAGCTGAGGAAAATAATTAACTTGTGGTATGACTGGGATAATAATCTGTTCACACAATAATAATGTGTGATAATTATCTCACACATCCCAGAAATAATCAAGAGGGTTGAGAGATCCTTCACTGACCAACTATCAGAAGATGCCCATGTGTTTTCAGATGCCCTTTGCCTCATTTTTAGCTTCCTCCCATTTACCCAGTATCTTCTGGAGTGTCCAGTGCAGCACCAGACCCATTTTCCAGAGACGGTCCTGTTAGAGGACTGAAGCCATGTTGGGACATAAAACCACATGGGCTCTAAAAGATTTTGAAAGGACAGTTTTGTTTTCTTAGCATGCATTTCTCTGAGTTCCCTTTTTTCCTATGGTTACTTGATGTTTTGAACCTTGGTTATGAGGAAAAATGACTTTACATGAACGTAAAGTTGTTTTCAGTCAGCTTGAAGCTGCAGACTTGCAGGAAGGAAGTCTGATGAAGACATCAGTAAAGCTATACTGATTCCACCCCTCGAGCAGGACCATGAGATAACAAGGACAGGAAGAGAAACCAGAGTCTTGGGAGACCACACCTGGCTCCTCACAGTCCCCCTCCCTCCTGCTTTTCATTTCCCACCTTCCATTCCCCCAGCTTCTCCTTAAACCCACCTCTCCACTCCCTTAAGTAGGAAGCAGTTCTAGTCTGTCTCCTCACACCAACACTTGGGACTGACAGTCTTTTATTTCTGAGCAGACGGCAGCAGGACCTGGACACCAGTAACGGTCCCATTTCTTGGCTCTTCCATTGTGACTTCTCCATCATTCCAATCACTGTCCTGTGCCCTGCCCTTTCACAAGCGTTGCTCTCTTACTCTGTTGAATGCTTTCTTAATGGATTTATGAAAATTTGGTAATGTATTATAATTACCTGATGCTTTGATTTACAAGAATAAACATTCCTATGAGGGTAGGACTGGATCTAAATTGCTCACAACTGGTACCTCCATGCAAAGTACTGACTAGGGACACAGTAGAGCACAAAATATTTGTGGAATGGAAAAGTGCTCAGATTTCACACTGGTACACATCGTTGCCTTAAACCAAACATGTAACTAAAAAGGGACGTTCCCCCTTTTTGGCGGCTGGCCAGTACAGGGATCTGAACCTTTGACCTCGGTGTTATAACACCTTCCCTCTTTTTTTAGTACCTAGTAATTGGGTCTAACGTTCTTCAAATAACACTTGGGTAGGTGGGAAGCTATTCTGTTGTTGATGTTTAAACCTCTAGCACCAGGGACAAAATTTCAACTTCATCTTAAAGTGACAACATACCCCTTTTTTCAAACAAAGGATGTAATTCAAGACCAAGTGCAAAACAGAAACGGGAACAGCTATTTAGCTGTCCACCACAGAACCACCACAAGCTTCCAAACAGGGACCAAACTGAAAGAGATGGGAAAGCTGTGAAACTCCTGTCACACCTTCCCTCCTAACCCACTCCATTCCTATGGAGCCTGCGCCCCCCACGGTTATTCCCCAGGGGATGGGCAGAACGACTACCAGACTCAGCTCTGCCCCCACAAAGTCATCCGAAAACTCCAACTAAGGCAGCCCTGGGACAAATGTCAAGTTCTCCGAGGCACACGGAGATTGGAAAAGCTAAAGGAAGGGCTGGCCTGTGGCTCACTTGGGAGAGTGTGGTGCTGATAACACCAAGGCGCGGGTTCGGAACCCATATAGGGATGGCCAGTTAGCTCACTTGGGAGAGTGTGGTGCTGACAACACCAAGTCAAGACTTTTTTTTTTTTTTTTAAAAAGATGACCGGTAAGGGGATCTCAACCCTTGGCTTGGTGTTGTCAGCACCACGCTCAGCCAGTGAGCAAACCGGCCATCCATATATAGGATCCGAACCCACGGCCTTGGTGTCATCAGCACCGCACTCTACCGAGTGAGCCACGGGCTGGCCCCAAGTCAAGACTTAAGATCCCCCTTACCGGACATCTTTTAAAAAAATAAATAAAAAATAAAAAGCTAAAGAAGAGCCCAGTCCCCTGACCCCGTCTTCGTAGACAGCCCCGTATTCTCCCCCAGGCCTCAAGGGCCCGACCCTCCGCAAGTGCATAGTCGCCCTTCATCAGCTGACATCTCTGCTGCCAGGAAGGGGTGGGAGCTTGAGAGGGACTAGGCCCGGGGCGGAAGCTTGACGAGATTTCGCCTAAGCCCCACCCAGGCCCAGCACCGCCCCCAACGGGCGGCCCCGCGGGGCCGGGAGGGAAAGGACCGGACAGGCCTGCTTCCCCCACCCTCCTCCACCTACGGCAGAGAGCACCCCGCGAGCGAGCCGCGCCCTCCCCTGCCCGCTCCCTCACCCCCAACCCCAACTCCCTCACGCACCCGCCGAACGCAGCATTGTGCCCCAGCGCAAAGTGCCCGGATGTCCGCGGCCCCGCTCCGCCCCCACACCGCCCTGCGTGCCACGTCACCGCTTCCGGAGCTTCCGGAGGCGCAGCGGGTGATGACGTAGAGGGACGTGCCCTCTATATGAGGTTGGGGAGCGGCTGAGTCGGCCTTTTCCGCCCGCTCCCCCCTCCCCCCGAGCGCCGCTCCGGCTCCAGCGCGCTCGCTCCGAGCTCCGGGCTCCTGCCAAGCTAGCGCCGCCGTCGTCTCCCTCCGGCCGCCATCATGATCATCTACCGGGACCTCATCAGCCGTGAGTCCTGACTGCACTATCCGCCTACCGCCGCGCACTGGGGACGGGGTGGGGGCTGGGAGAGCGGACGCCTCCGTCGTGGGCCTAGAGCCGCCGGCAGCCTTTCCGGGAGCAAGGAGAGGTCGGTGCCTGGGGCACGCGCTCGGGTCGCAGGCGCCAAGGGAGGGGCGGGCGCCGCGTGAGGGCGGCCCGCGCGGGAAAGGGCGGCCCGGCTCTGGGTCCCCGGCGCCTCATGACGGGAAGGTCTGTGTTCTCGAGCAGATGATGAGATGTTCTCCGACATTTACAAGATCCGGGAGATAGCGGACGGGCTGTGCCTGGAAGTGGAGGGGAAGGTGAGTGTCGGCCGCCGCGCGGGGGAGGCAAGGCCGGGCAGGCTCGGGTTTCCGCCGTTCCCCTGCCCGAGGTTGTGCAATCCTCCCCGCCGCCTCCTGGCGGAGACGCTCTTTCCGGGCTCGGGTTTTTCTAGAAAAGTGGAGGCGGAGCTGAGCCTGGAAATAGGTCCGCCGCCTGGGCGCCCATCCTCCCTGCGGGCTGTCCGGGTCATGTTGTTTCCGGCTTGGGAACTCCGGGCCCGTCGTCAACGTTTTCCCTATCCCTAATCAACATGTGGCAACGCGACAGCCCATAACTGGAAACAACTTCTAATTGATTGTTAATGACCCCATTTTCGTTGAGGTCAACAGTTAGCTCTTGTTGAGTCAAGCCGTTTCAGGAAATCGACGGTCGTGTTTTTTCCCAAAACGATGCTTTTGTGGTATTCAACAAGAACCAAGAACGTTTGGTGGAAAGATGGTAGATGCATGAACTGCTGGTGTAGAAGGTGTTTTGGTTGTGTTTTTGTCTTTACAACGAAACTGCTTTTTCTTTATGCAGATGGTCAGTAGGACAGAGGGTAACATTGATGACTCGCTCATTGGTGGAAATGCCTCCGCTGAAGGGCCCGAGGGCGAAGGTACTGAAAGCACAGTAATCACTGGTGTTGATATTGTCATGAACCATCACTTGCAGGAAACTAGCTTCACGAAAGAAGCCTACAAGAAGTACATCAAAGATTACATGAAATCGTAAGTGATATTGGCAACAGTCAGCTGTTATCTAGAATCATAAACGATTTAGGGATTGGCTAACTTTTGAGGTTAATAGTGGACATACTTGTGAAAAGCCTTACCTTTTTATTGATAAACTCACAGACAAGTTTCTGTAAACTGATGTGAGCATACTGGTGGAGCAGGCAGTCTAGTTTTAAGTTTTTAGAATAGAATAGTACTTTGGAAATAGTTAACATGAAATTTGGAATTATAAACATTTTTGAAAGATCCCTTTTGTGAACTAGTAATTTCTTAATTGTGCCTTTTTCAGTTGTAGTTTGGGGTTTTTTTTACTTAAAAAACCGATTTTGCTCAAAACTTAATACTTTAACCTATTATAAAATGTTGTTTTAGAATCAAAGGGAAACTTGAAGAACAGAGGCCAGAAAGAGTAAAACCTTTTATGACAGGGGCTGCAGAACAAATCAAGCACATCCTTGCTAATTTCAAAAACTACCAAGTAAGTAACTTAAGTATTTGGATCAAAGGATTGTACAATTTTAACTGCAAGAGCAGAAAATTAGTTACTTCATTAATCTTCCTGTAATTGTGGCTTTGAGACATTTAAATATTTAGCTTCATATGCTCAACTGGTAGTCCAGGTGTAGAAAGTAGCGATCCCTGCTCTCACATTTTTCTAGATCCTGTCTTCTGATTCAAAAAGTCTTAATGTCCACTTGCTTCCCAGATGACATTTCTCAGTTCTTTTCTTTCGTGGATTGCTTCTTAAACTCTTAAGCATTGTTCCAGTTTTCTGTTTGCAATTCTAATGTGTCTCATTGCTACTGGTGCTCTGGTGCTCTTTCTGATAGATCTGACCTTGTTAGTCCTTTTTTTGGAAAACTTCAGTGACTTCTTACCTCTAAGACTTGATTAAAAAACACATCATGATCTGGCAAGCTGGGTTGGTTAGAGTGTGGTGCTGATAACACCAAGGTCCAGGTGTCAATCCTTGTACCAGCCAGACTCTCCCCTCCCCCCAAAAATCACAGCTTGCTCTTCAATTTTCCACCTTTCACATGTCCCCTGGCCATAAGATACTTCTTCATAAGATATACTCTATCATGTCAGACTATGTTCCTTGTGCTTGACTGTGTAAGCAGTCTTGTAAGGTTTGGAATTGTATATGTGGGGTTGAGAGAGAAATAAGACTTTCAGAAAGCCTGAAGTGTTCCTGGATTGTACTCTTACTTTGGCCATTATTGGTGCTTTAATCTGGTGAACAGATGTTTGTGGTTAGTGAGTATTTTTCTCTTAGGCATCTGAGATTTTTTATTTTTGTGGTGTTCTGAATGTTGCTTTGTTGTGTTGTAGTTTGTTTTTATATGACATTTATATATAATGGTGTAATTCTGGGTATCTCTTGTTTGCTTCCCAAGTTCTTTATTGGTGAAAACATGAATCCAGATGGCATGGTTGCTCTGCTGGACTACCGTGAGGATGGTGTGACCCCATATATGATTTTCTTTAAGGATGGTTTAGAAATGGAAAAATGTGTAAGTATAAGGAAGTGGGTTGAGATTAATAATGTAAAAATCAAGATATTTTAGGTGTGATTCTCATTGTTTCATGCCAGTAGGATAGTTAGAATGGATTCTACAGCAGTCTTTCTAAAAACATGGATCTAGTTTTTATTTCTGTTTGGGGATCTAAAGAGGATTGTGCTTCACAATCTTAAGGTATAAAAAGGAGGGCTGGCCCTGTGGCTCACTCGGTAGAGTGTGGTGCTGAGAGCGCTGAGGCCGCAGGTTCAGATCCTATATAGGGATGGCTGGTGCGCTCACTCGCTGAGAGTGGTGTGGACAACACCAAGCCGAGGGTTGCGATCCCCTTACCAGTCAAAAGTAAAATAAAATAAAAATAAAAAGGTTTAGAGTTGTGATTATCTACAGGAAACTTTTGAGTATAGATGGCATTATAAAGTACAGATTAAATACTGATCTAGAAATCAGAGACAACACCTTACATTGATCTTCCCCATACAAAGTCCTGACTTTCTTTATATTCATATTTTGCCACACGTGTATGAGTATCAAAGTCTTTTTCACTTTGGTTTACTGGTAATTAGCAGCTGATCATTGAAAGCTTTAGGACATTGCTTGATTTTAGTAAATTCAATTAGAGTTAGAGCTGACTGCTGCTAAAACAAACTAATAAAATTAACTCAATATCTGCTATGCAAGGAAGCTGTACAAAAACAGATATTCATCATCCTAGCTTTCAGAAGCTTCTATATAAAATAGGAACAAGATAAACTTAAAGCTGTTCTGAACAGAATTAGAGACAGCAGTGGACAAAAATTGCTGAGGACTTGTCAAAGGGGATTATTTAGACAGTATCTGAGATTTTTGTTGGCATAACACAGTGTGAGTTCTGTAACACAGTGTGAAGTGAGTAGGACTGGCCTCAGAATGAGACTTTCCTGGAAAATGTGCTGCTTTGGATTTGGTAAGGGTGTTTTGCATCCACTGATAGACCTTGAACAATTTGCTGTTGTTCTTCTGGTTTGCACTAGGATGCGAAAGAAAAATCCCTGCGCTTTCTGTCTGTCTTTGTGGCGGCCCAGATTGAATTGGGGAATACATCTGTAGCCTAGAAATGTTGAGTACTCTGATTGGGTAAAATGTAAATATAATCTTCTTGTTTTTACAGTAACAAATTTGGCAATTACTTTGGATCTATCACCTGTCATCATAACTGGCTGCTGCTTGTCATCCACACAACACCAGGACTTAAGACAAATGGGACTGATGCCATCTTGAGCTCTTCATTTATTTTGACCATGATTTATTTGGAGTGGAGGCATTGTTTTTAAGAAAAAAAACATGTCATGTAGGTTGTCTAAAAATAAAGTGCATTTAAACTCATTTGAGAGAATGCTCCTTAGTTTAATACATATTTAAACTAAATCCACTGCTAAAAATCCTAAGACTGTCTTCAGATAACCTCTACAGTGAAAGCTACTTCTGGGACTGGAATATAACAAACAAGAATCAAAAGTTTTAATTCTGAGTTGCAGTAAAGGGAAAGACCGTGCTCATGGCAGTGCCAGCATTTGAAGTGGAGCCTTATACATTTCATCACCTACAATGGAAATAGTTAACTCTGGAAGAGATTACCAAAAGAATAAAAAAAGACTAATTCAGTTGGAAGCAAAGTATTGTCTGAGCTTATTTAAAATAAATCAAGTAGATTGGTTGTACTTGAATGCCTTCTGGAATGAATGTCAAACTCCCTGGAAACTAGAACAGGGGTTTGCAAACCGGCCTGTTCTGACACCTGTTTTGTACTTAGGTAGTGGTTGCATTTTAAAAATCAAAAGTCTTGTGGGATATAAAATTTGCATTTGTGTCCAGTTTTATTGGAATACTGCTTTGCTTGTTTAGCCATAAATGAGCTATGGCTGCTCTCCCATCAAGTGCAGAGTTGTGTGACAGAAGGTAGAGGCTGCAAGTCCTAAAATAACTGATTCTATATGTGAAGTTTGCCAGCCTCTGCAATATGAAAGTAGGTGGAGTGTGGGGTCGCTGGTGGGCAGAGGAAAAAGTAACTTGTTCATACTGTACCTGAAGACTGGGTATCAGAATGAGAAAAGTAAAATGCATCTATTTGACAGACCTGGAGCAGTTGCTGTCTGCTGCTAAGGTTTCCACTACAGATGCAAGAAAAAAGTCCTCGCGCTTTCTGTCTGTCTCATTGTGGCAGTCAAGATTGAATAGAGGAATACAGGGGGAATCGAGTTTTTGCAACTTGGGAAAACAGTGAAGATCCTGTCCAAAGAAAAGCCTAAAATTTGAATTTACTTAAGAAACGGGGGCTGGCTGGTTAGTTCAGAGTGTGGTGGTTGTAACACTAAGGTCAAGGGTTTGGATCTCCGTGCTGGCTAGCTGCAAAAAAAACGTTGGGAAATATTCCCTGTCATCTTTACCTGGTTGATGATGCCTTTGAAAGCTTAAAGGTTTAATTAAAAGCAAGCCAGTGATTTCGTTTAGTGCATTTGGACATGTGAATCCAGTGATTCAGCAGTTTGGAATTTGCCCTAGTGGCTTCAAAGTGTATAGCGTGGTCCAAAACCTGAGGCAGATACTAATAGTGCCCCCTGGTGACTGGTGAGAGCAACCCCAAATGTTGGAAACCCCAGTCAGGCTGGTAGCAACTTCAAGCATTCTGATTTCTGACATTAAAATGGAGGAAAAATTGCCAGTCTGAAACATTCTATCAGGGAAGGAATTTTCAAGCTGTGGTTCATGCTGTGAAAACCAGGATAACCTGATACTGGGGGGAGAGTCTTGAGGTAACAACTAACCTGAAACCAGTTGGTGAGCAAACTTTGGAAAAGTCTGAAAGAGCAGACAGCAATGTGAAGGTTTTGTCGGGGAGATGAACCTGGTTCCCCTGTCCCAACTTGTTTTGAAAATTTAAAAATGTACCAGAAAAGTCTGTTTCTCCAGTGATCCCTACTGTTATGTATAGCTGTATTCCCCAACATCCAGCTCCAGTCAAGATTCATACACTGCATTTTATTATGCCTAGTCTTTGATCCAGAAGTGACGAAACCCAACCATTTATTTCGTAGTAAGACTTTCATTGGAGTCCCGGTTAGTTGTCTTGTATACTACTACCTTGGGGGGGGGGGAGCGAGGATGGTGGCTGGTATGGGACAATGAACCCTTGACCCTTGACTTTGGTGTTATCAGCACCACACTTTGACCAAGTGATATACTTCCCATTATTTGGGGTCTATTTTTCCTGGTTATTCCTAGAGTCAGGTTATGACACTTTGGGCAAGAGTAACAGGTGAGTAATTGCACACATCAGAAGGCACATGTTTTGTCTCATTGATGCTAACTTTGATATAGGCATGTTTCTACTGGCCTGTGGGACCCGGGCTTTGTTAGGGGTGTGGAGAACAAAGAACTCATAGTATTGTCTAGGAAGGCCTTTGTAATGTGACATTTGAATACAAGCTTGAAGGCCTGGAAGTAGGCCATGTGGATAATCTGGGGGCAGGCCATTCCGGGCCAAGAGAATAGCAAGTGCAGAGTCTGGAATGTGCTTGACATGTTCTGGGATCACTTTGGCTGCCGTATAGCAGAGTAAAAGAATAGGGCAGTTAATTGTATAATGCAATATTTGTAGGCAGGAGGTGATGGTGGTCTAGTGTCAGGATAGTGGTAGAGGAGGTGGTTAGAAATGAAGGTAAGAGACAGGATGTGCTGAGGGGTTCGGTGAGATGTGAGAGGATGGATTTAAGGGTGGTGCCAAGTATTTTAGCCTGAGCATCCAGAAAAAAGTTAACAATGAGATGGGAAATCAAGGGTTTGGTTTTGGACAGGATAAATTTAAGGTTTTTTTTTTTGGCAGCTAGCTGATATGCAGATACAAACCTTTGACCTTGGTGTTATGAGGCAATGCTCTAACCACCTGAGCTATTTGGCCAGTCCTAAGATACTCATTCTTTATTCAAATGAATTGTGTAAGTGGTTGGGTTTTGAGTCTCAAGGAGAGTGGTGAAGTCTAAGCTGGAGAACCCAACATAGTGGGAAGATCTCAGATGCCATTTAAAGCATAGTACTGGATGAGCTCACTTAGACTCAGCCCTCCAACAAAGAGATTGGCTGGCATGATGAGGAGCCTGCAAAAATGATTCAGAAGGAACTGCCCCTGAAGTCAAGTGGAAAGGAAGAAACAATCAATAGGGTTATCTGTTACAAGTTCGTCAGCTATGGCTAGGACTAAAAGTGGATTTGACAAGTGTTGGGTTTCGGTAGTAGGGAAGAAAGCTCAATTACAGTGGGCTCAAAAGAATAGTATGTCTGCAGGCGTCACCCATGAGATGTCATAATACTAGTAGATTTTTTCTTAGTTATTGCATGTGCATGAGCTTAAGTAACAGGAGTGTGAAGGACTCGTTTGAATCATTAGTTTTTCATAAATTTAGTTACATCACTAGATTTGTGTTGATGTAAATTCTATCATTCCAAACTGCAGCATTAGCCAATAAAAACAGACTAAACTGGTAATGATGAGGGCCGGCCCCGTGGCTCACTCGGGAGAGTGCGGTGCTGACAACACCAAGGCCACGGGTTCGGATCCCATATAGGGATGGCCGGTTTGCTCACTGGGTGAGCGTGGTGCTGACAACACCAAGTCAAGGGTTAAGATCCCCTTACCGGTCATCTTTTAAAAAAAAAAAAAAAAAAAAACTGGTAATGATGACGATTGTGATAAGGTTGCGAGAAGAGGCACAATAAACCACAACCAACTTGAAAAAACAGTAAGAAAGCACCCTTTGAGGTTATACATGTGTGTACTCAAATGGAGTGGAGGGACCCTGGCTGGGAACCAGAGTAAAATGGAACTAAACCCAGGAGGATTTGAATTAATGGATACCACAGCTTAGTGACTGGTAGTTAACAATCAGTAGGTCACGACTACACAATCCTTAATCCTATGGTAAAGGTTCACCTAATAGCCCACAAATTTAACTCCCCAAAAGAGCTCCAATTGGTATGTGTTTCTAGAGGCTTTGCCCGTAAGAACTGAGGATTGTTGGGGGAACATTTAATATTTTATTACTCCAAAGGAAAAGTCCTTGGGCTGTTCGGTTAGCTTAGATGGTTAGAGTGCGGTGCTGACTACACAAGGTCCAGGGTTTGCTGAATAACAGCAAAGGAAAAGTCCTTCATTAAAGTGTTTAACATACACAAGTAAAGAAAAAGGTGCTAGCGAATAAAAGCTGATAGGATAACAGTCTCAGTAAACTAGATTCTTTAGACTTGGAGTTTGCAGATAAGTTCATAATGCTGACAGTTTATGTCCTGCCAATTTCCCTGAGTCCATCCTTTGGTCAGCAGCATTGACACATCAGACCCCTGTACATGTCAGCAACTTCACTGCTGGGAGCAAGTTCTTAACTATCAGAACATTCCAGTTTGTTTTTTGAGAACCTGTAGATTGTGGATTTCTGCTATTATACATGGTTTCATATAATTGAGCCTGGAAATTGGCAAATTTGGGATCCCTCTATAAGTAAAATGGACAAATTATAGGATATTTTACACAATGCAATGCCACAAAGCAATAAAAAACGAGTTTTGATACAGCAAAAGGGATAACTTCTAGACAATATTGACCAAAAGAGGCCAGACACAGGAGAGAACATACTACATGATTCCATTGATTTGAAGTTGAAAACAGGCAATACTAATTTATGATGGTAGACCGATAAAAGGCATTTGGGTTACTTGCAGTTTGGGGCTTTTATAAATAGAGCTGCTGGAAGCATTAAAAAAGGATTCCTCCATATGCTGGGCCATGAAAACCTCTGGAGTAGATGTGGTTTGAGCTGGAGTCAATACAATTCAATGAGAGAAACATCAAATATGAGCCAGGGGGCAGATTTTTTCCAAATAATTGTTCAATCAATCTTTCCCTCACTTACTGACTTTGCCCCTCCTGGGACACACTTGACTTATTTGTTCTTAGGTGCACTGTGCTCTTTTCTGAGCTTAGCGGTAGAGCAGGGAGCCCAGCCAGGGGAGAACACCATGCAGTGCTTTTGTGTGTGTGAATCACAATTTACAGATGGAGAAATGAAAACAGACATCAGGTGACTCACTGGAGGGCCCCTTTGACCGGGAAAGGACACACAGACCGCAATTGTTAGGCAAGAGTTAAAAACCTTCTCTGGTGGTCTAGTGGTTAGGATTTGGCACTCTCAGCACTGAGGTGGGGATTTGGTTCCTGGTCAGGGAAAAGCTGCTCTTCCAGTTGGTTAGAGCATGGTGTGGTAACAGCAATGTCGAGGGTTTGGATTCCTGTACCCGGCCAGCAGCCAAAAAAAAGGTTATAAAGTACAATATTTTTAGTAATAGTACTGCAGAGCTACTAGATATCATTCAGTCCTGAGTTTCTAACATTCATTTAGATACTAGAAAGCTAGTTGTGTACTTGGTAGTTTTCCTCACGTGTAAACACAGCAGATTAGTCCTAGTTTACTATCAAATGCAGCTTGCACATGGCCCCACCTAGAGCACAGGGTTATCAAATTATTTTACCCAGTGTACATTCTACCATAACCTAAGCAGCTCGTAGAAATTTGACAAATCTCAGGGGAAGTTGGTATTTTCTTGACATCTATTCAGAATAGAGCTA